TGAGACTGTGGTGTGAGACTTGACATCACATAAGAATACACTCAATGAAGGGTGGTGTGAGACTGTGGTGTGAGACTTGACATCACACAAGAATACGCTTGATGATGTCGTAACGTACACTCGTGTAATGGCTGTATGATTGTTGTCATCTGGTGTTGCCATGTGCGTAGAGAGATGCAGGTTTGCTACGGGATGCTGCGAAACGTATTGTAATGGCTGCATGCATGTTGCATGGGCTTTGTTTTGGGGAGGAAGCCGGAGCACAAAACCTTGTATTTTTCCGTGTAAAGTGGTTGCAGCCGGCGATGAAAGGTACCTCGTGTGTGCGGCGGTTGCGGCTGCGGTCGTTCCGGGCGTAATGGGTTCCTCCTCTGTGTTCTGCCACGAGTGGTTGTTCCTGTGTGCGTAGTTCTATTCTTTTCTTGAATCTGTGGTTGCAGATCGCATTGGAGTGGCTGCATGATTGTTGTAATCCGGTGTTGCCACGTGCGTAGAGAGACGCAGGTTTGCTACAGGATGCTGCGAAATGTATTGTAATGGCTGCATGTATGTTGCATGGGCTTTGTTTTGGGGGGAAGCCGGAGCACGAAACCTTGTATTTTTCCGTGTGAAGTGGCTGCAGCCGGCGATGAAAGGTACCTCGTGTGTGCGGCGGTTGCGGCTGCGGTCGTTCCGGGCGTAATGGGTTCCTCCTCTGTGTTCTGCCACGAGTGGTTGTTCCTGTGTGCGTAGTTCTATTCTTTTCTTGAATCTGTGGTTGCAGATCGCATTGGAGTGGCTGCATGATTGTTGTAATCCGGTGTTGCCACGTGCGTAGAGAGACGCAGGTTTGCTACAGGATGCTGCGAAATGTATTGTAATGGCTGCATGTATGTTGCATGGGCTTTGTTTTGGGGGGAAGCCGGAGCACGAAACCTTGTATTTTTCCGTGTGAAGTGGCTGCAGCCGGCGATGAAAGGTACCTCGTGTGTGCGGCGGTTGCGGCTGCGGCGGTCGTTCCGGGCGTAATGGGTTCCTCCTCTGTGTTCTGCAACGAGTGGTTGTTCCCGTGTGCGTAGTTCGATGCGTTTCTTGAATCCGTGGTTGCAGATCGCATTGATATGGTTGCGTTGAGGTTGCTTGGTGCCGCGGCTGCATGCGTAATACTATTGTCTTTTGCAGCTGGATCTCATACATAGTATTGGAGTGGCTGTAGGAAAGCTGCGACAGTGATTTGTCAGCAGATTTCTCAATTTTTGCGCTAGCAATTTTCCTTGTAAAATTCCTTTTAAAAAGTGCTTCAAAATCTTCTTTTTTCGCTTTGGCGTCGAGATCGGTTGTGGAGCTGCAATTTCCGACGCCGTTGCGCGTAGTTCTATTGTGTTTCGCAATTCAGTGTCTGCAGATCGCATTGTAGTTGCTGCGTCAAGGTTGCTTGGTGTCGCGGCTGCATGCGTAGTAATACTATTGTCTTTGCAGCTGGATCTTGTAAATAGTATTGGAGTGGCTGCATCACGGCTGCGTCAGTGATTTGTCAGTATATTTTTCAACTGGGAGGTGCTTTGTGCAAGCTTTGTAGTACAAAGTAGTACTGGGAAGTGCTTTGTGCAAGCTTTGTAGTACAAAGTAGTACTGGGAAGTGCTTTGTGCAAGCTGTGTAGTACAAAGTAGTGCTGGGAAGTGCTTTGTGCAAGCTTTGTAATACAAAGTAGTACAAAGAGCTGCCAAAACCTAGACATAGTGCAATGCTGAAAAAAGCATGCAGCTGTTGACGCTGGACTGTGTGTGTCCGATTGACAGATTACAATTAACATAATATATATTGTAGTTAAGCTTTGCTGCAATGCATGAACATCTCACGTGAGTTGCCACAATACTGTAAATATAATATGGCCTATGTGTGCAATTTGCACAAGAGCTTTTGTGTGTTAACGAAACTTTTTTGGGATACAGAAGAACTGGGGAGATGAGCTAAGCTTTGTAGTACAAAGATACTTTCTAGAAGCTTTTCCTGTGTAAAGTGTAAATGCATCTGTGTCTCAAGCTTCTGTGTGCTGACAGTAAGAGCTTTCTGGCGTGCAGAACAGCTGAGATGAGTTGAAAACAACATCGAGGAGATGAGAAAGGTTGATCAGTGCTTGGATGAGATGAAAACAGTTGAGGAGCACTTACTTAGATGACATGTGAGAAGAGATGGGATGAGATGAGAAGAGCTGAGATGAGGTGAGATGAGGTGATAAGAGCTGAGATGAGGTGAGATGAGGTGAGAAGAGCTCACATGATCTGAGATGAAGTGTGGAGTGTGAAGGGCGAAGAGTGCAGTGTGAAGTGTGCGGAAAGTCTGATCTTGGCGTTGCATTGCACCGGAGTTGCGCGCAGGTCATGTTCTTGGACAACATCTGTGCAACAGCTTCGCACAAAGCACGCACGCACGGGCCTGGCTGGCGCACGGTGCATGCAAGTTCTATAGATGAGAAAGGTCTTATAGTATATCCCTAAGGCAACTTCCGCCCCGCCTCGTGCGGATACTTCCAACTGTATATTGGGGAATCCGTATCAACCAACCAATATGAAGGGGCCACACAGGGTTTTGCACGCTCTTCCCTTGAATATCTTGGCCCAGAGCTCACTCTGACCGGGATTCTTGAAAGTTTGTCGAACAGATTCTTTGCACGCTTCAGGAAGGTGAGAACCTGACGGCTTTGGCACAGCCAAAAGCAACAGCAATGGAGGCTTAGCAGTTTAGTGCTGTGGACGTGACGGGATTGCAACATGGGGCCTGCCACGCGCTGGTGGTTACAACTCCGATGTTTTAGACAAAGCTCAGGAGTGTGCAAGAAATTCAGGCTGCCCGTGTTGCGTTTACTGCCACTCTTCAGTGAAGAACCAAGCGGTGGTGACAGCTCCGATCCAATGCATGGTGGCGACTGTTTGGCCGATCAACTCCAAATCAGTGTGATGGCCCTGGGTTTAAGAGTAGCACCAAGTGCTGGAAGAAACAGTTGTTTGGTTCGCCAAAGAATCAACCAATATCAACCAGAGTACATCCAAGTACTGTGAAATACGTGACTTTCAGAGACTGACTGTCCAGTGATGCGAGTTAAGTCGAATGTCCTGATTGTCACTTGTCGTTTTCACGATTCTTCCGCTTGGATGAAGGATTTCAATTCCCTAGCGGAACAACCATGGCAAGAAATGGACTGGACCGTCGAGTTGCCATCTTCGTTGTCGATGTGGTTGTTGGCTGAAAAACTAGGAACGCCAAAATCCAATGTTTTATTATTGTTATTATTGCTGTTGCTCTTATTATTGTTACTAAGTTACTAAATCATGATTATCATTTCATCCAACAGCAATAAACATATGAATAATCACAGCATGATAATAACAACAGCAGTAATGACAATAATACTGTCATTTATGACAACAATAGCATTGATACTAATATAATAGTAATAACGCAAAGTACCAGTAGTACCGCACAAGGCGGTGGCGGAAGTTTCAAAAATAGGAAACCTATAGGAGAGGTGAGTTGTTGTGATTTATGGATGGCAGAGCGAACCCACTGATTGACCGAGGTTGGAGTTGTGCTTTTTGGAGTGGTTGCAGTGGTCACCTCACCCACAACTGCTGAAGGTAGTGTGGTGTGGCGTGGTGTAACTTGTAGTTGTGGTTGTTTGTAGTTGTGGCTGTAGGTTGTAGTTTGGTTGTAGTTGTAGTTGTAGTTGAAGTTGTAGTTAGAGTTGTAGTTGTAGTGTAGTGGTAGTTGTAGTTGTTATGTAGCGTAGTGTAGTTGTAGCTGTCTATCTATCTGTCTATCTTTCTATCTGTCTATCGATTTGTCTGTCTATCTATCCGTCTCTCTGTCCATTGATCTATCTGTCACTGCAAGCTTGAAAAAGAAGCTACTGTATTCTGCGAGACTTCCTCAATGCTTCAAGTTGACAGCATCAAACACGCAGCAATACTGCGAGATTTCCTCAATGTTTAATTTAAACTTGACAACCTCAAAAACGAAGGAATTCTGCGAGACTTCCTCAATTTTCGAAGTTGACAGCATCAAAAACGAAGCAAGTCTGGGAGACTTCCTTCCAAAATGGAAAGTTGAGTGGAGAGCTGACGGCCTCCTACCAATGCATCTTGCGATTTTTCCATTCCATCTGTCTAAAGTAGCGCGCCTGCCACGAAAAAGTGAAGCCAGGTCATACGAAGTGCTGCGCCTGTCACGCAAAACATGCTTCCCAATGTTTTTGAAGCTGTTACAAAACCCTCATGTTTTGCTCACTTTCAGGATGGTGCAGAATCCCTTGAGCCTGCCGCGCAAAACCACATCCTAACTTCAAAAAGTGCTCCGAGACCGCCAGTTTTTTACACTTTTGAATTCGAAATGTGCTTCGCGTCACAACGCCGTGCACTTTTTTTCCAACATCGCAATTCCTAAAATGTGGTTTGTTTTGTGTGCATTTTGACTTGGAAATGTGCTTGGCGCCACAACTGCGTACACTTTTTGAACATCTCAATTCCTAAAAGTGTTCCGAAGCTGAGGTGTTTTGCGCATTTTAAACTTCGAAATGTTCTTCCCGCCACAGCGGCGTGCGCTTTTTCAACGTCTCATCTTCCAAAAGTGCTCCGGCGCTGGTGTGTTTTGTATGTTTTTACTTCGAAATGTGTTTCGAGCCACAACGGCGTGCAATTTTTCATCTCTCGTCTGATTAGCGAGCCTACTTTTCGACCCTCCGGAGCCCCAAATCATTGGAAAAACATAGTGTTTCGCGACTTTTCTACCTTTTTCCGATTCTTTCTCTTCTCTGATCTTCTCTTCTCTTCTCTGATCTTCTCTTCTCTTCTCTGGTCTTCTCTGACTCTTCCCACCTCTGCTTTTCCATCTGTCCATATTGTCGGAAGTTTGACTTCTAAACTTCGTTCGGTTATCATTCTTTTTCATCATTATTAGTGCTACATTATTCTCATTACTAAACTGCTTTTAGGATCTCCCCCAATTTCGACCTTGGTCGCGTCACATGATCCTGAGGCCGAATCGCGTGCTACCTCGCCTCGGCGTCGAGCGGGCTCAAGTGATGAGTCCAGTGCCAGCACAGTTCGGCAGCTCAGCCCCTGTTGGGGGAAACCTGGAGTGCTCTGGTTTCTCATCCTACATCTCCGGTCTTGATGACATCTTTTTTAACAAATCCACATGAACATTTGCGAGGAACTACCATATATCTTGACCGATCTTGACTCACACAGGAACACCTATTTTGATTGGTTTCGATTGTAACAAAGATACTATCAAGGATTCATTGCTCAGAAACCTGTGGAAGTGAGACCAACTTCTGCAGCTTGGCTCAGCGACTGACACATTTTTTCTTGCAGTGGAGCTGCAGAAGTTTAAAGTTTAAAATATGTCGACAGAGTTCAAGCTCCGGTACCACAACAGTTTCATTGACGTTGAGTTCCCGGCCGTGGAGGAAGGGCTACATGCACGTGCGCAGAGCCTGTCGCCTCATCGAAAGGGCTACACTCATGACCTATGGGATGAGCATGATCAGGAACGGCTAGAGCAAGAGCAACGGGATCAGAGCTATGTTCGCTGCCTCTCGGAAAAGCTGGATTTTTTGAGTCCCGAGTCCTTGAAGACCCCATCCTTCATCACTTCGGAAGATCCATCCACTTTTGTTGAGAAAACCGCTTCTCAGTCCCCACAAGGTGTCAACAATGTCAACGGTGTCAACGGGATCAATGGTGTGTGCGTGGCAAATCCTGGGAGTGTTGGGCACCCAGAGTTATGCCGCCGCCCATGCCTTCATTTCAACGCCGGCTACTGTGGTCATGGGAGCAGCTGCAACTTTTGTCATGAGACGCATCCTCAGAAGGCAGCAAAACTTGACAAGAGGCAGAGAGAAATCATGCAGAACTTGCACAGCAAAGAGGCAGCTGCTTTGATCTTTGAGTACGTGAAAGCAAGGGTCCTCCAGGCAGACATAGAGGGAGGACAAAGGCTGGTGGACTTGTTGGAAGTTGAACGAAAAGGTGCCGACACCACCTGCATTCATCCACGAGACCTACGCCATCTTCGCAAGACAATGAGCCGCCTGAATCTGTATAGCCTCCTGGGAATTTTTACTAGCAAATCTTCCCTCTATCCTCAGGAAGAGCGTTCTAAAGTTGAATGCATTTTTCAGCTTATGCACGAAATTCGCGAAGAGCTCATCTCTCAGAATGTATAAGATAAACAATGATCAACAAGTCTCAAGAACAGCATTGCAAAGAGTTGGTTCTAACGCTTAAACGATATTAGATATTTATTCATAGATATTCATAGATATTCCGTTATCAATGGTGTTGTTCCTTTCTGGTGCTTCTGCACGACTTCCACGTCAACAGGCTTTTCCAATCTGAGAGATGCAGCATGTTTAAACGAATTCTGCTTTTGCAAATGCAAGCGTTTCAATGCATATGGCAGATCATTTTCACATTTTACGGTATTGTTCCAAAAACTACCGAGTGTTTACTACATCTGGACCTTTCCGGACGAGCCCAAATTAAAGCCATGAGGCGTGTAAAGCGTGGCGATTAATACAAGACTTAGTTCCACGCAGTAGCTAGGGAGGCTTCTGGAGAGTTCGTCAGCGTTAGTCAGTGACAGACTAACCTTGCTTAGATAGCTGACTGGGTAGTAGCGGCCAGTGTCAGGACAGATGGGAAATCCCGACATGTCTACGTATCCACGTACCAGCATATCCACCTGTGCCTAATTGAACAATTAACCCACACATGGACATAATAAATACATCATAGAACAGTGCCAGAAGACATGTAGGCATTTGTCCCGCGCTCGCTCCCTCTCTCATTGAGAGTGATGCACCCCGACAAATGCAAGTACCTATTGCCTCATGAGTGGGCAGGTTTCTCCACATCAGTTTCTGACACTTGGCAAATCGCTCTCGGTACTTTTAAGTCGGTGGAGCAAGTGACAAGCTTGGTGTGCACCAATCTACCAGATTTGGGTTTTTTCATATCGTCCATCCCCATTTTGGGGACAGGCCAAATTCTTGACCCATACCGACGTTACCGGCGATGATCAGTTCTCAACTCACTTGACTTACTTTTTTCTTCCGCCTTAGTGGTTCAAAGGCTGCGTGACAGCGACGCGGCTACAGTGTTCCGGGAGTTTGAAGAATTTATGTCATGCACGCACCGCGGACCGCACCGAGGTGCATCTCAGAGTGGATTGCTAAAGATGACTTCCCATAATTTTCAGAGAAACATGTTGGACAAATTCATATTGAACAAGTAAATTAACTCTGAGTCACGCTGTGGTTTGGTTCACAACGGATTGGGTTCCTCACTGCCGCAGTTTGGAGACTCGACAGAGCCCTGGTACTTGCTGCAGTGCAGAGATAAACCCAAACTGAACAGATACGGATACAAAAAGGGTGCCTGCAATGACAACAGATGGTACTGAATAACAGTGAATACTTGTGAGTGATTCCACACAGCCGAGATGTAAGCACAGACTGACATCCTGCAACATTGTGTCACGTGGAATCTCCCCATGCACTCCCATGCAATGTGCAATGGGTGCTCCTTTGACAGGTCGACACCAAGAGAGCGGCAGTTTTCGAGCTACAGGCTGTAGAAAATCCGGAGTGATGCTTCCTAGCTATGGTATGCTATGGTCATTTACCAGTTGTCCAGGGTCAAATCATGAAGTTCTTATTGGCAGGGTCCCATCGGTTGGATTTTTTTTGCTACATGCCGATTTCTTGTCCACGGTTCCAATCTTGAAAAGTTGACCAAAAAAAGATTTAAATAAGGTTGCAGAGCTTGGTTCAATCTTTAAGCGACCTTCGTGTTTCTTGAAGAGCAAGTGCTTCCCCTTGGACCCAAGACAGGGGCCTCTTCCATGCCCCCTATCCCCCTGGAAGCTCTTCACGTCCGATTATTTTGGCAGCATCTCTGGGAAAAGTGGAGCGACCTTACAACAACCTCGCCAGAAATGATGGTTTGTATGGTGGATCAAACCCCAAAACAGGCCAACATGTCTGTTTTTTTGACGGCTTGATGGCCGTATGGGGATATGCCAAGTGATTGCATGCGGACTCCGGACTACTAACTGTCAACCATCATGGTACATGATACTAGCGAATCCCTACCATAAGATGGCAATGGATTATTTACAAATGGTAATTAGGCCAAAACGCAATCAACATTGTATCATTCTTGTAATGCAGTAATTGGTTGGTATACAGAATTGACTAATACCTCATTATATCATAATCACATTCTTTCTTAAATGGATATTGTATGATATTGTATAATATTGTATAATATATACATTGGATTCAGTACTACATAGTATGTATATATATAGCATGTTGTATATTTATTGCATATTATATACATTTATGTATTGTATATCATACACTATGTAAGGTTTTTATGATATGCAATATATATATATAATATTAATAAAAGTACCTCTTATATAGTATCTCTTATATATTCTTATATATTATCTTTTTTTTTTTAATATTATCTTTTTCCCACAAGCAGTGTGGCCAGACTGAGGGGTTCTTACGGTAACAGTTAAGGCCCGTTGTTCAATCGAGGTGGTATCCCGGGCGTTTGGCATTTTCCCTGTAAATTTCCGCACAAATGCCTCTTGTGACATGTCCATATGCATTTCGACTGTGCAGGCTCGCACCACATGCTGGCCGCGGGATTAGCGTCCGGCGTTTTCCTTGTAAATTTCGGCACAAATGCCTCTTGTGACATGTCCATATGCATTTCGACTGCGCAGGTTGCACAAAATGCTTGCTGCGGGATTAGCGTCCGGCATTTTCCCTGTAAATTTCTGCACAAAATGCCTCTTGTGACATGTCCATATGCATTTCGACTGCGCAGGTTGCACAAAATGCTTGCTGCGGGATTAGCTTCCGGCATTTTCCTGTAAATTTCCGCACAAAATGCCTCTTGTGACATGTCCGTATGCATTTCGACTGCGCAGGCTCGCACCACATGCTGGCCGCGGGATGAGCGTCCGGCGTTTTCCTTGTAATTTTCCGCACAAATGCCTCTTGTGACATGTTCATGTGCATTTCGACTGCGCAGGCTCGCACAAAATGCTTGCTGCGGGATTAGCGTCGGCATTTTCCTTGTAAATTTCTGCACAAAATGCCTCTTGTGACATGTCCATGTGCATTTCGACTGCGCAGGCTCGCACAAAATGCTTGCTGCGGGATTAGCGTCCGGTGTTTTCCCTGTAAATTTCTGCACAAAATGCCTCTTGTGACATGTCCATATGCATTTCGACTGCGCAGGTTGCACAAAATGCTTGCTGCGGGATTAGCGTCCGGCATTTTCCTGTAAATTTCCGCGCAAATGCCTCTTGTGACATGTCCATGTGCATTTTCGACTGCACAGGCTCGCGCAAAACGGGTGTCGCGGGATTGGCGTACGGCACTGTTCCTGTAAATTTCCACCCAAAATGGCTCTTGTGACATGTTCATGTGTCATCGACTCTGCAGGCTCGCACATCATCATCATCATCATCATCATCATCATCATCATCATCATCATCACCACCATCACCATCATCACCATCATCATCATCACCACCATCATCATCACCACCATCATAAACATCAACATCATCATCATCATCATCATCATCATCACCATCATCAACATCAACATCACCATCATCACCAACATCATCATCATCAACATTAACATCATCCTCAACATTATAATGCATTCTCCTTGACTCCCCCCCACACTGTTTGGGGTCTCTTGCCGGGAAAATTTTTATATTATCTCATATGTATGAAAACCGAGATATGATATATACGGTAACAACATTTAAATAGGTGGAGAGCGGGCCAGACCGGGAGGCCCCGGAGGTAGTATGAAATACCAGTTCTTATATTTAAATGTAGCTACCGTATGTTTAAATGAATTGGATTCCGTATGTTTAAATGGCCGGGCGGGCCAAGGAAAACTTTTCCAGAGGTAGTCTAAAATACCTGTTCGTATATTCAAAAGTCTGTATATTTAAATGTAGTTACCGTATATATATATATATATGTATACATCACATCACATCACATCACATGATATCGTATCCTATCATATCATATTTTATCACATCATATCATATCCTGTCATATCGTATCGTGTCGTATCATACCATATCATAACAGGTTGTATCACATATATACATATCACATGTACGACATATATACACTATACAATATACAATATGTTGCTATAAGTTACAGCTTACCAACAAAGGACCTCAATATTACGCAGGCTTGGGAGCGGGTAACGACAGGTGGAAGAGCTGCCCGAGGTGAAAAAGCCACCCTCGCCTTGTGCCCGAAACCAAGCCATGTTTTTTAGAGCAAGTTCAATTACGGTAATGGCAACCACATCATCACCTCAATCATCATGGCAACCACAGCATCATGCAAGTAGTTCGGAAGTGTGAGCGATCGGGAACGCGTGAATTCAGGCTTGAAAACACTCTCGGGCACGAAACCCTGTATTTTTTAGGGTAAAGTGTCTGGCGTGGTCGCCGAAGCAGGCCTCTGTTTCCGCAGTTTCGCGGTTCGATCGGGGAAAGTGGTCGACAAAATGTACACAGGACTGTAGCGAGAGCTCGATTTCACATAAAAATCGTTAAACAAATTGACGGGGCCAGAGCACTTTTGGACGATGAGGTCGGCAAAAGGCGCACGAGACTGTTGCGAGAGCTCGATGTCACATAAAAATCGTTAAAAAACTGAGGGGACCGGAGCACTTTTGGAAGATGAGGTCGGCAAAAGGTAGCGAGAGCTTGACTTCATATGTCAACCACATCATCATCAAGTAGCTGATCACATAAAGCAAAAAGCTGAGGGGTCGGAGCACTTTTGAAAGATAAGGTCAGCAAAAGGTGCACGAGACTGTTGCGAGAGCTCGATTTCACATAAAAATCGTTAAAAAACTGAGTGGCCCGGAGCACTTTTGGAAGATGAGGTCGGCAAAAGGTGCAGGAGACTGTAGCGAGAGCCTGATTTCATATGTCAACCACATCATCATGAAGTAGCTGATCACAGAAATCGCAAAAAACTGACGGGGCTGGAACACTTTTGAAAGATGAGGTTAGCAAAAGGTGCACGAGACTGTTGCGAGAGCTCGATTTCACATAAAAACGGAAAAAGTGAGGGTTTTGGACCACTTTTGGCAAGTCATTCAATTCATTTCAATTCATTCATTTCAGTTCATTCATGTCAACCCATTCATTTCAATTCATTCAGTTCAATTCATTCATTTCAATTCATTCACTTCAATTCATTCATTTCAAATCATTCATTTCAGTTCATTCATTTCAGTTCATTCATTTCAATTCATGCATATCAAGCCATTCATTTCAAGTCATTCAGTTCAAGTCATTCATTTCAGTTCATTCAATCATTCATTCATGTCACTTCATTCATGTCAATTCATTCGTTGCAATTCATTCAATTCAATTCGTTCACTTCAAGTCATTTCATTCATTTCGTGAGTTCGCTCGTTCATTCATTTCATTTCGTTTTGTTTTGTTTCGTTTCCTTCCCTTTCAGTTTCATTTCAGTTTCACTTCATTTTCATTTCATTTCATTTTCATTTCATTTCTTTTGATTTCATTTTCGTTTTCATTTTCATTTCATTTTCATTTCGTTTTCAATCGTTTTCATGTCATTTCATTTCATTTCGTTTCATTTTATTTTCATTTCATTTCTTTTCATTTTCATTTCATCTCATTTCATTTCACGTCATTTCATTTTTTCATTTCATTCATTTCATTTTCTTTTTTCATTTTCATTTCATTTTAATTTCATTTCATTTCATTTCATTTTCATTTCACGTACTAAGGAACCCTGCCGCGGCAAAGTTGACACTCCAGTTTCAGTGTGCCGTCATGGTCTTCTGGTGTCTTTAAAGAGGAAGAGAAGAAGAACATCATCAAAGTAGCATGGACAAAGTTTTCTCTCTCTCTCTCTCTCTTTCTCCCTCTCCTCTCTCTCCTCTCTCTTTCTCCCGCTCTCTTTCTCTCTCACGTGCACACAGATGGACGTGCGTGTTTGGAATTGGTCGAAAATTGCAGCAGTACTCCATGGTGCCATGTGGTTCAGCTCAAAGGCGTGTGACTACAGGACCAAATGGTAACTCGCTGAGGTGTGGATGGAAGTGGATTTGGACAATGAAACCGTGAGATGCAATGTGGTAGCCCGAGATAATTTATTGCGGTGTGGGAAAGATTTGAGCAGCTTGCAAAAATGGTTGCAATTGGTTGCAATCATTTGCAATAGTGATATCGTCTTTCCTTCACCAATTCATCAAGGAATGGTAGAATCAGGTGTCCCTCACGCCCTCACGACTCATTAAGGAGCATCGTCAATGGTGGAAAAGGGCTCTCGCACAGAGGAATGAAGAGGTGCCATGGCTATATACGAAGCTCTGAAACCTAGCCAGATGCTGGGACTTTTGGGCATAAGCAGCTGCAGCAAGGTTTGGAGATTCCGATTGCTTGTTTTGTCTGCTGTTGTTTGGTTTCTCTACTGGACCTCTTCAACCCAACTGGCCACTTGGTGTTTGGCCTGCTCCGAATCTGAAGGAGTTGCCGCCAATGCCGACAAAGGCACGATTTGATGTTAATCGGCAATCCTGGGATCCCCTGTATGCATGACGTGGACGGTTGCAATGACAGACGGCATGCAAGAGTAGTTTCAGTAATTTCCACAAAACCGATTATTTACACCTCATAGACAGCGCACTTGTGAACCAAAGTTGGTTTGACGATATCACACCTGCCTTGAGTGAATTTTTCAAACCCTGTGTGCAGTCCTTTTCTCTGGATGTCCTCTGGACATGTCTGGACGTCATCGACGCCATCTCTAGCAGACTCTAACATGTGGAAGATGGCCGGATTTCGCTTTATTAAAGCTCGCACAATTCTATCGGTCCTTCCCAACCCTCCCCGGCATGAGTGGCAGCATAGCCAAAGGCCTTCCGCCATCAACAGGCACGCGCCGTGACAGATGTGGAAAGACGGCGATTGCGAGAACGCTACGAATGCGTTGCGGTGCCAAGGGGCGCGTGGCTGAATGGTCTGCTTCAAGCTGTTTTATCCAGAACTTTCAGTAGGGCTTTCTTTTCAACCTCATGTAGAACGCACTGAGCATATCGTCTTGCTCACTAAGAGTACAGAGAGATTTCAGAGGTTCGATGATTCGGGACGAACAAAACCACTTTTGAGCAAAAAGCTCCATTGTTCACTCTTCACAGGGATTTCCAAAACATAAGCCTCGCCGGAGGCCAGAACAGCCCAAACAGATCACTCTACATAACCAGGAACTCCACCTCGCAACTGAAATAAGACGAAGACCAAGAGGGTCAGGATTAGACCAGCACCTTTGCTTAGCGTTTAGTCCTGTGGCATGCAGGAGAATTGATTCTAATCTGACCTATCTGATCTCATGTTGCTGAGATTCTTGAAAAGATCTCATACTGTTCAATTCCTTTACGGATTTGATGCTGACATGCTCAAAGACTGGAGAAGTGAGAGCAGACGAAATCAGTCACCCTAGCAGAATCAGACCACCCTGAGTTAATCACTCCCCATGTCGGAGTCCGTCACCCTAGTGGTGAGGGGTGACTGCCATCCGGCGTGCCCAGTGGGCCGTTTTGGTTCCCAAGGTCGCAGGGTCCAATTTTCTTTCAAATGACTTTGGTGTCCTTTCCATGTGCTCCAGGCCCCCTAAGCTCTGATGAAGCATAGTGACATGGCCAACGGTTTCACCAGGGGTTGGTTTAGGGTTTCTTTAGGGTCGGTTCAGGGTGTATTAGGGTCTATTTAGGTTTTTTTTCATGGTTTGATTTAGGGTTGACTTAGTGTTGGTTTGGGGTATTCAGGCTTGTTTAAGGGTTGGTTTAGGGTTAATGTAGGGTTTCGTCAAGATTTTTTCTAAGGTTGGTTGGGGTTTATTTAGGGTTGATTCGGATTTATTTGGGCTTGGTTTAGGGTATATTCAGGCTTGGTTTAGGTTTTATTTAGGGTTGGTTTAAGGTTAATGTAGGGTTTTGTCAAGGTTAGTTTTAGGGTCTATTTAGGCTTGGTTTAGGGTTTATTTAGGTTTGGTTTAAGGTGACATTATCATCAAGGTTTGCGTGAGGGTTGGTTTACGGTTTCTGTAGGATTGGGAGGCTCATTGATATTCTGATTGAAGGGTCGCCGGGCAGAAGATGCACATGGATATGTGCCACTCAAGTTTAACACAGCGGTCAGTGTGCAGATGAGGCACGATCAATCATACTTGTGGATGGGGCAGATGTTGCCGGGATGACCATCCATTTTCATTTCTTTATTGGCTAGGTTGATGTTCACCACAGTACAAGGGTTTTGATCTGCACCCCCATCATTATGTAAAGATTATGGGAGCCACTCTTCATCCACGCGTCTGAGGTTGCATCACTCTGGCGTGAGCTGAGTGTTGACAACGAGGTTGGGCGGTTTCCTTGCTGTCTAAATGACTTTCTCCATGGCTGAGTTGTGTCTTTGCACATCTCAAGACCTCCCTAGGTGAAACTTTAGAATGAATAGCGCCAAATCATACCAAATCAGGGATTCTTAAGGATTTGAATGGGCCATTGAATCTTGCGACTGTGATCCAGGTCCTGCATACCATCCTGGGCTATGGTGTAGAGGGACGCACCTTGGTCGTGACACACCAGGCCGTGGAGGATGAAAAGGTGGAAACGTAGCAGACGTCGCACCATCTCCATCCATCTCCGTCCCTCGAAATCTGATGTTTTTGTGACCAACCCATTTTAAGTTTGGAAGGATTCCCAATTTGATTTTTCTTTAAACATCTTTTCCACATTCTTATAGCATCATGAATTCATGCTGCCAGAGCCACCGAACCCTTTGTTGGACATGGAACACTTCTAGCAGCGGACACCACTAGCAATGCCAACGATCTTGCTGATCGAAGGAAGTTTAGAAGTCAAACTTCCGACAATATGGACAGATGAAGCCCCAGAGGTGGGAAGAGTCAGAGAAGAGAAAGAAGAAAGAAGATCAGAGAAGAGAAAGAGTCAGTAAAAAGAAGATCAAGGTGCGCGAAAAGGTAGAAAAGTCGCGAAACACTGTGTTTGTCCAATGTTTTGTGGCTCCGGAGGGGTCGAAAAGTAGGCTTGCTAAAGCGGCAGGTGCGGAGCCACCTGGGCAGATGAGAGATAAACAATTGCACGTCGCTGTGGCGCGAAGCACATTTTGAAGTCAAAGTGCTCAAAAACTTCGGAGCACTTTTGGAAGTTGAGATGTCGAAAAGCACGCGCGCGAAGCACATGTCCAAGTCAAAACGTACAAAGGACACCAGGTTCGGAGCACTTTTGGCCCTTGAGATGTTCGAAAAGTGCATGCCATTGTGGCGCAAAGCACATGTCGCAGTCAAAACGATAAAACGCCACGTTGGGACAACTTTTGTATGTTGAGATGTTCAAGAAGTGCACGCGGTTGTGGCGGATGGCACGTTTTGAAGTCAAAATGCTCAAAACACTGCGGAGCACTTTTGGAAGTTGAGATGTTCAAAAACTGCACGCCGTTGTGGCGCGAAGCACATTTCGAAGTGAAAATGGTAAAAGCACCGCATGTTCGGACCACTGTTGGATGTTTAATCATAATTTTGTGTGGCAGGCGCAAGGGATTCTGCACCTTGCCAAAAGTGAGCAAAGCATGAGGGTTTTGCAGCATGTGCAAAAAACTATGGTAGGTGTGGGGCTTTTGAAGAGGATCTGCAACGATGAATTTCGCGTGGCAGGAGCAGTACAAGAGACATCGCCATCAGACATGTTAGGGTCAAGGCGCTAATTTCCTGAGAGGGGTTGCATTTTGGAGCATCAGATCTTCAGGTTTGCTAACAGAAACCAATTTTGCCTGACAGGTGCAGCACTTCGTATGACTTGGCCTCACTTTTTCCTGGCAGGCGCAGTGCCTTTAGACTTATGGAGTGAAAAATCGCAAAACGCAATGGTACGAGGCCGTCAGCTCTGCACTCAACTTTCCAGTTTTGAAGGAGGTCTCGCAGAATTGCTTCGTTTTGGACATGTCAACTTCCACTTTTGACGGAAGTCTCGCATAATTGATTACTTTCCGATAGGAAGATAGGTAGATAGATAGATAGATATACAAATAGAAAGAAACAGGCAGATAGACCGAAAGATAGCGCTAGTCAGGTAATTAGACAGACGGATAGACAGAAAAAAAGATACATAGACAGATAGATAGACAGTCCAGTCAGACAGACAGATAGACAGATAGAAAGATAAACGGATAGACAGGTAGACACGCAGACAGATAGATAGGTAGACAGATAGTCAGATAGACAGATAACCAGATAGATAGAGAATAGATAGAGAATAGATAGAGAATAGATAGAGAATAGGTAGAGAATAGATAGAGAACAGATAGAGAATAGATAGAGAATAGATAGAGAATAGATAGATAGACAGATAGGCAGATAGACAGACAGATTCGACAGATAGGTAGATAGTCAGATAGTCGGCAGATAGTCAGGTAGATAGATAATAGATAGCTACATAGACAGATAGATAGACAGAAGGACAGATAGTCAGATAGATGGATGGATAGATAGATAGATAGGTAGATAGATAGATAGATAGACAGAAAGATAAATAGATAGATAGGTAGATAGACAGTGAGGTAGTCAGATAGTTAGATGGACAGATATTCAAATACATGGATAATAGAATAATACATAAACAGATAAAAAGATAGATAGATAACTCAGAGTCCCCACCACCTTACCATCAGTGGGTTCGCTCTGCCATCTTTGCATCACGACAACTCACCCCTCCTATAGTTTCCTATCTTTGAAACTTCCGCCTTCGCCTTGCGCGGTACTATTGGTAATAGGGTGGATTGCTTGAACTGTTAAAGAAAACAATTCCGGAGTCCAATATCGGACCCCACAACTCAGCTCCAATTGCCCATTTTAAAACACGAGTCTTGCAGACGGCACCAACCTTCACGGGTTTGCGGGACTTTACCTTCAAAAAGGATAGCAAGGAAACCCAGTGCTGAGAGGAAGCTTGGAGAGGCATGGCACTGTTGGGAATAAGGCTAAAGAAGGTACCTTGATGATGAACATGAAAACTTCACATTTGTTGACAATATTTGGTCTAGTTGACTTGCAAGACCCTGCGTCGAACTGAGCAAGAAACCAAGGCTGTCATCTTTTGCTCACACAGGCAGTCAAGGTTGGGACGCAGCAATTGGAGGGTGGGGGTTCTTGTGAAACACCGCAGGTACCTTACCGTGTTTCAATACCAGCCACCAGCTGCTGCAATCTCTTGGTTGACGAACTTATTCTGTGGCTAGCAAGAACTTCGAGATGCAAACTGATGCTTCGCACATTGAAGCGCATTTTAGTATATTTTGATCCGCTTTTGGTGTTTTTACCGTTCTTGACGCACCCGGGGTCCCCCGAAGGCGTTGGTCTACTTGCACGGACAGAACTTGGCCCATGGACATCTGTGCCCCGAGAGCTTCCTGGTGGATGATGGAGCAAAGTTTGAAAAACGGGTCTGGGGCTTGGTGATAGAGGCGGCGAAGGTCAAATATCCCCGTTTTCACACGTTAGCTCCATATTATTTGTTTCTATGCATCCCAACTTTGATTGCTTCGCAGCATTTAAAAGCCACAGTCTTGCAGGTTTTGGAGGTGACATTTTTTTTTTAAATTTGCAGTGACCCACGATCCTAGGTGCGCCTGGTGTGGATACCAGGACAGAGGCGCATCGAAGGGCTCGGAAAACCCAGCAGGATGCTGACTGCGGGTTTCAAAGATGCAATGTACGGGGGAAAAAAGGGAATTGGTTTGGGGGTTTCAAAGATTCCCATTTCTGATGGTTTTATTGTGTTTCATGTTTTTTGGGTTTGATGATGATATGATATCATATTATGTCCCTATGATGTTTACCAAACAATGAGGAAAGCGGAGAACCAGAACCAGCCATGGTTGCCCCAACATTTGGGTTTTCTGCGGATTCAACCAACATGTGGACGTCGCCAACACAGGCTCGTATTGTGACCCGAGACATGGGTTGTTGAGCCAACACAAGGTGTCAAATATAGAGGGGGTTTTACTATCCAAAAAAGGTGAAATAAGTGATGTGATATTGATACAATCAACAAATGGGGGATGAAAACGACAAACACAAAGATGTATAGTCACCTATAGCCTGTAGCCATCAAACATGGGGGTATATTTCATATGCAACCAAATCAAACTTCTTGTGGGTATAATGTGGTTGGTTGTTTAAAACAATGGAGAGATCAACCTGCCAGTTGGGATACTACTTATATACCCACACACGGGGGTTCGTCCAACGCCGGCAACGATCAACAACAAGCTCTGTCTTGATTTCATTTGTTTCATGTTCCGTTCCTCAAAAACGGCATGATGAGCTGATGTGCTTGTCGTACTCATGGGATGAATTGAGACCCTAAATTAACGGATTTTGAGAAGGAACTATATTGAAATATTGATGTTTGGGTCCATTCCTCCATATACAGTATTGCTTCCGGAGTGTGTAGAGGTGAGAATATTCTAGACTGAAAGATCCACAGCTCGAACAGAGAAAAAGCATGGTGTTTAAATTTCAATCTTTGACAAAGGATTAATGATATGTACATTCACCTGCCACACTCAAGCTGGGTCAAGACACTTACCAGCTACCCCATGCTTCTGAGCAGTTGAGCAGTTTTCTTGGAGATATGTCATTACCACCTAGGGCAACCGCTCCGCTCTGAAAACTTGCCTGTCCTGACAGGTCCTCATCCACTCGAGGATTGACACACTTCCTCTGGAGGATTTCTCCATGAGCAAAGCATCCCTTTGCCATAATTTTGTATACCGTTTTTATGAAGGATTTTCCAGAAGTTCACAAAAACAGCTCCTTCCTTCCTCCAACCCGTAGCCCTCCCATCCCCTAAAAAATCACATCTGAGGTCCCGACGTGTTCCGGCCACCCTGGGCTTTAAAGGCCCGGCTTGTCGCGCGTGGTGGGTTGTTGCCGCCTTGGTATCGCCCGCTATCCTACGCCCTTGGCCAATGTGACATCTGGGAGGTCCTGGGGAAGACTGCAGCCCGGAAAGTGACATTTGGTCCTTTGCCTGTGTACTTTTGGTCTGGCGCCTGGAGTTTAGGAGCAGAACCTGCAGCCACTTGGGTGGAAAGCATGGATGACGGATCTTATATTTTCACAGCGTTAGAATTGTTAGAACAGGTGCGCTGAAATGATATTACCGGACGGACAGTGTCCTTTGACCCGGAAAGTTTGGGATGGAGCCTGCGAGGTTTGGTATTTCAACTTCACCCCTGCGCTGGTGCCCGAGTCCTTTAGCAGTCCCGGTGACTCCAATCCCAGGGACAGAAGAGCTGTTGACAGGATGAAATCTTGCGGTAAAAGACAAGTCACTTGACTATCTTTCCATCACGTTGAGATGTTTTGTCTACTGTTTCATACAGTTTCAGATTCTGATCTTAGTTTTTTTTGCTTCTGTATGCATTCTTTTTTTTTCTCTCTCTCTCTCTCTAGCTAGGTATATACAGGTGTATATAATTACAGTATATACATATATATGAAATATTGTGATAATGTATGTCTCATGTGTGTAAATAATACTGCATAGATAAATAAATGCAAATGTACAATGTATACATACATATATATATATATATGTGTATACATATGTATGTATACATGTATATGTGTATGTATATATATATGTATATATATATGTATATATATATATATGTATATATATATATGTATATATATATGTATGTATGTAATGTAATGTAATGTAATGTAATGTAATGTAATGTAATGTAATGTAATGTAATGTAATGTAATGTAATGTATGTATATGTATGTATATGTATGTATATGTATGTATATGTATGTATATGTATGTATATGTATGTATATGTATGTATATGTATGTATATGTATGGATATGTATGTATATGTATGTATATGTATGTATATGTATGTATATGTATGTATATGTATTGCGAAGGGGAACGAGATAACACAGTAGTAACACATGCTGAGCATGTGCACAGTCTTGCACGGGACGCCATTATGGCTCAAGACCCACTGCGAGGCCAAAATAACGCGCTCCGCTGCTGCATGGTCTGACAGCTCCGACTATCAGCACATAGGGAACTACAATCAAAAGGGATAATCCAGAACAAGGATCAAATTGTTCACAGGTTATCAGCCGTAGGGCTCACTTCTCCCGTCGGGAGAGTGGTACCTGCGTGCTGGTAGCCGGGCCGTCTGAGCAATTGATTGAGGACGCAAAGGACCAATCAGCTCATCATCGCAAAGATGCAAGGCGGTAGCGGAGATTCGCGCACCACGCAGTTTACCTTCAACGAGAACACTGCCATGCCGGTCGAGGAGGTCAATCAGTCTTCCCCTGGTGACACGGCAGACAGTGGTGGGATACGCTCTACCCGAACTACACAGTCCGGATGGCAAGTAACGACAAACAGACGAAGGATATCCACCCAAAGTACACCGAGATCTTCTCGAAACAGTCCTCGGAGTGATGTTGTCCGCCAAGGGCATCGACCATCTCGAGGACGAACTACTCCTAGGGACAGATCCACCAGGGCCGTGACTGACCGAATTGGTGAGAGGACCGGGGATAGTCGTGTTAAGAGGAGATCAACGGATACTTCTGTGGCTAGTGAACCTATTGCCATGATAGAAGAACTACGGGCACAATGTCAATCCCTACGTAGTCAGTTGAACCAAATGGAAGCATACGCCGCATCTAGAGATCAACTGATTCATGACATCGAGATTAGATTCACCGAGTATCTTCAGGAACACAACCAGAATGTATTTGATGAAGTCAGTGCACTCAATCATAGATTGTCACGTTCCGCGAATGAGGTTGCAGAATATCAAGCAGAATTAATGGTAGCATCTCAGGAAGATGAAGGTGCAACAATACGCATCCAAGACCTTGAGCGCCGAGGTGCCCTAATGGAACATGGTGCACGACGGATCCATCAACGTGGTATGGAGATCCAGGAGGAGTACAAGGATGAAGTACATCACCTTCAAGGACTATTGGGTAATACGGAGGCAAGACTTCAACAACTTCATCAAACTAATGTCTTAACCACCGATATTGCCAATCGACTATACAATGAAGGTCAGGAAATGCAAACAGATTTCCAGAACTCAATCATGGAATATCGTAATCGATCCGAAATGGCGTCCTTCTCTAGCAATCAACTTGAAGTGATTAGCCAACAACAGTCGATTGCAGTTCATGAACTATCTGAACGGAATCAACTATTGAGTGAAGCTTTGGTTCAGTCTCGTAAACAGGCCGAGCTGTATGAAAGCAGTATTGACGAGATCACTAGAGAATCGAGAAAGAAGGTTTTCGAGGCAAATCAGGCCAAATTAGAAAGTGATCTGAAGCATCGAAACACCGAACATGATACCGTCAAAAGAATTGCATCATACAGGAACCAAGAGGCCGAAGCGATATCACACCTGAGGCTTGAATCACAGGCCAGCTTGAATTCGATCGCGAGGGCCGAGTATTATGAAGAGCTCTACACCAATGAGCAGGAGATGAACTGCGAGTTAAAGGATGAGATCAAGTTGCAGAACACGAAGTTGCGGAGATCGTTGACTCAGGGTGCTACGACCGACGGTCGTGGCCCCGATGAGATGCTTGTTGAAGATCTACGTAATCAAGCCAAAATTGCTCAAATTAGGGTTCAGGATCTAGATCATGAAGTTCATGAATGTTTACAAGAAAACATATTATTGAAAGAAAGATTGGCTGAAGTTGCGGATGTAGGGGCGTCGTCCCTCACCAATGCTGAGGTCCGAACTCTAAGATCTGAACTAGAGAGTGAGCGAAAATTGAAATTGGCTAGTGGTGTTCAACAATATGAGAGATCATGCATGTTCATGGGGGAAATCCAGGATAGGGATGAAAAGATTGGCATCAAGAATTCTGAGATTGTTGACATGAAACGTCACTTAGATGAACTGAGAAAAAGTCTCAAGGATTCTGAAACATCTATGGCTAGGATCAGTCCTGACACACTTCCCTATTCGGCAGGCATTCCCAACTCCGATCTCGCATCCAGACTGGTCATCGACAAACTGGAGAATGACGTGAGTGAGGCTAACTGTGAAAACGCTATTCTGAAATCTTGGGTTTCGCAGATCGACAAGGAGTTGACTTATGAGACAAATGTGGCTCATTCCTATCGTGGGCATGCTGTACCTCCTCAACAACAACAGCATTCTCAATCAAGCAAAAGAATCGCTGATCTGCTGAAAGAGGTTGACAACAAGATCGCTGGCGGAACTGAGAGGGACTATTACAAGCCACCGAGTGGATGGGGCGGCCCGCCTGACCCTGATGGACCTCCGGACCCTTTCGGGCCTAACGGCCCAGGACCACCTCCTGAACCTCCAGGTTTGCCTTCAGTTCGAGGATCACAACGCGATTCAGCAGATGATGTCTCCACAGCGGCTTACACTGCAGAAGAAGTACCGAGAATGTCAAGACGGGAGGCTGACAAAGTCTATGTTAGCCCATGGCCAAAGCAACAGAATCTTGGGGTTTGGCAATCAGATCTCATCAAGAGTGTTGTTCTTTCGGCGAATGACGGGGATAAAGCCGCATGGGAGGCATGGCTACAGCCGGCTATTCGACCAAATCCTGACATCGAGCTATTGAATGACAGTGGAGGGCAACGGTATCAGTCCATCGACGCCAAGTTGTCAATTGCATTGTCAAACGTGATAGCCCAAGCCGGTGATGTCGCTCGTCATGTAGCGATCAAATTGAGATTGAGAACACAAAGTCATAGTCGAAGAGGAACCTATGTAATGGGACGGGAAATCTTGGCTATGATCCTGGAGCACTTCAGAACCCCAGGTCAACGAGAAACATCATTCACCATGGAACACATCGTATCGATGAAGTATCTCGGTGACTCGAACCTAGAAGTGTTCTACGAGAAATGGATGGAGATGGTGTCAAACATGATGCCGGATGATGTACCTCCTGACGATTGGCTTCGTGATGCTCTATACAAGAAGATTCGAAATTCGAGTCTTATGATGTTCGACATCAAGCAGTACGAGTCATGGATGGAAGGAGATCAAAGACGAAATTATCGCTACCTGTTGGACGTCATCGAAAGGCACATCTCCAGGATCAGAGAGGACAAGCATGTGGCCGCCAGAGAGAAGTATGCGAGAGACTTTGCAGGTGGCGGCAAACCTTCAGCTCCTGCTCCGAACCCAACTGCCGCTGCACCGGATGCAAATCCAAAAGCGAAGCCTAAAGCTACTCCCAAGGAGAAGGCAGCGCCCAAGGCGAAGGCCAAGGCCGATGCAGCTCCAGTTCTACCATCACCTCAGCCTAAACAGCATGCAAAAGGAAAAGGAAAAGGTCAAGGGAAAGGGAAGGATCGAGCAAACAGCCGAAGTACCAGCCCCAGATCCAAGAAGAAGATCCCATGCCATTTCCATTTCATCAAGAAATCATGCAGAAAAGGCAAAGATTGTGAATACAGTCATGATCAAAAGGTGTTCGAGGCGAATAAGAACGCAAAAGGGAATGGTCGGAAGCCAGGAACTCCAAGAAGTCAATCTCCGGCAAACAAGACCAAGAAGATTGATGAACCATGCTGGCATTGGGCTAAGGGCAAGTGTCGGTATGGAGACAAATGCAACAAACGCCACGATCCTCATCTATTTAACACTGCTCCCAACACCGAAGCACCAAGCTCAAAGGCTACTCCTGCACTTGTCCATGATTGGAGCGATGATGAAGAGATGTTCCATAAGATTGCATCGAACGTGGTCAAGAAGAAGGTCAGATTTGATGAGTCTAAGACTCACGTTCAAACTTACATAAAGAAGGACTTCGTGAAGTGCAATCGGAAATCTCAAACTGTCTCCAAAGGTCATGGTAAAATTGGGAAGCCCACTGATCAGATAAGGAAAGATGAGCAATGGTCTTATTCATGCAGGTTAGCTTCGAGCCGAGGGAAAGCAATGGCTATTCTGATCGATGAGAAGGGTGAACACAGTGACATTGATGAAGTCCTGGTCATAGTCGGCCCTAGCATGGACATCCTGATCAGACTCGACGTCGAGGACGGTGAGGTGTCCAGGGAAGTTTTTGTGGAAAACTATGTTCAGCATATTGAAGGTCGATATGGTAAAAGGGGCAACACAATGTGTATCACTGTTCCTGTTGAAGAGAGAGATAAGAGATTCATATTGGATTCTGGAAGTGGCCATGATCTCATTTCATC